TATATATATATATATATATATATATATATATATCACATCTTGTGCACAATTTTAATTATTTCTTGGAGTTTTCAATCTAATACTTGCAGACAGCTGCCAGGTGTCGCCAGGTGCCTCCCTCACCCGTAGAAGCCGACGCGCCGTTCGCACACGATGGGCTTCTCGTGGTAGCAGGCGACGTCGTGCCACCTGATGCCGTCGTTGTAGAAGTTGTTGAGGACCGCCAGGCAGAACTCGCGGCCGTCCTCGTGGTTGTCGGGCTGTGGGTATCCGTTGCTGGGGGAAAGAGGGGAAGGGGGGAGGTTAGGCGAAGGGTTCTTGATGCTGCGTATATTTCGTTCGTGATTATCTATTTATTTACCTGTTTATCTGTAGACGTGTCTGCGCTCGTATGAACGCACACACACACATACAGACACACCTCCCTTTCACTTACTCTCTCCCTTCCTGCGCCCCCCTTCCCCCCTCGCCCTTCTCTCTCTCTCTCACGCACACTCACATCTTCCTCTAAGTCTCATTATCAACCCTTTTAAGTAATCATATTTCGTTCGTGATTTGATACATTCACCTTTGTCTCAGACGCATTCACAATCGCCTTCGGTAATGGAGAATTAACTTACGCTCCAGTGTGGGACCAATTGAGACCGTAGAAGGGGAGACCGGAGGACCAATACCACTGGTATCCGCTGCGGAAACCTCCCGTCCAGATGTATTTCACTTCGTCTGCGAGGGAAACGAATGTACTACGTCAGGAGTGTTAGTTTTATCACGATCTCAAATACTACAAAGGCTCGTTTCTGTGTAAAGAACGCTGTGTGTGTTTGTGTGTTGTAATCTATTGGAAGACTATACTATTTGTTACTTGTTCTTCCTGATTTGAGTCGAACGGGGGAAAGAAAGGGGGAAAGGGAGAGGGAGGCGGAGAGGAGGAGAAAAAGGGAGAGGGTGAAAAGGGGTAAAGAGAGAAAGGGAAAGAGAGAGGAAGAGAAAGAGAAAGAGAAAGAAAGAGAAAGGAAGAGGGAAAGAGAGAGGGGAGAAAGAGATGTAGTGTCATAACCTTGTGCAATGATGCTGGAGATGATCCTATCTTCCAGATAGCTCTCGATGCTGACGCCCTGCCATCCGTAGCCGAGGCTGGCGCAGTACCTATTGGCGGCTTCCCACGGGTACTTCTGGCCTCCGTCGTGGCGCCAGGAGAAGTGGTATTCGCTACCACCATACCTCAGATCCACCTAATACACACCAGGGGGACATATACTACAAGTACATTATATATACTATATATAGCTATAATTCCTTCAACGTTTTAAGTAGGTGAATACGGGTTTATAGCTGCTTCTGTATTGAGGAATATCCATGCTTAGAAAATGCTGAATAAAAGAACAGGTAAATATCAGTTTAGTCTCAAAAAAAAAAAAAAGAAAAGAAAAGAAAAGAAAGAAAAAAAAGACAACTACTTTAAATTGTCTTTACACGAAAGGGGCAAACACAGCAACAGTTTATTTATTTCCTAAAATATGTAAGCATTACCTTTTTTCTCTCTTCCTCTTTTATTCTTTAGTACTTACCCTATCGCTATAACTTACTGCCACAGCTACCACGGTTAAGAACAACAGCGCCTTCATCTGAAACATGAAACTGATTTATCCCGATACCTGACCTGTTATTAAATATACAGTAAATGTTCTCATACAGTGTTCAAAATAACATTGCAGTCTTCATATTATTGAGGATAATTCAGTGTTGCAAACTTATTGGAATATAAATATAACAAGCTGAAATAAATGGAATTACATATATGTTTTTCTGAACATTCATAAAATCTAAGAAACCAAAAATTTTCTTCCCTCTCTCTTAGGTTTGCATCTTGTCATATGTTTAACTTCCCCGCTTTTACTATCAAACTATGCAACCAGCATGTTAATAAAATGCTTACAGTTGAAACGAGTTATCCCAAGTCTTCGAAAAAATAATATTAGTAAAGTGTTTTGTCCAGTGCCTCTCTCTACTCAGACAAAAATTAAAATAAAGTCTTCTTATATTTAATTAGCAAAGTATACGTTTCTGTAACTGAAATAACCAGAAACCATTAAATAACGTCTAGTTAATCAAATCAAATAAGAGAGAACTAAAACGTTGGTTTAGCAATAGCACAGTCCTTGGTTCACGGCCGGTCGCTCCTCTCAGTCGAATCAGATGTGAGTACTGGTATGCTGATATGCGCGTGGTGGGGTCAAAGTCATGGTAAAAAAAAAGGGATCTTGCCACCATAACGTATCACCCTTTAGCTTAATATACATGTTCTTCTCCGGACAAGTCACTTACTGTCCACTTGGATATGGGACCCACTTTGGCTTTGAATCTAATAACATATTTGATAAGCCATGTTTCACCGTGAAGGAAAATTAAAACATGCTTTATATATCCCTTAGAAAGAATGGCCTGGTTGTATTCACTGTGTCTCTCAGCAGGCTATTTTAACCGTGCTATAAGACTAATATATTATAATTGTAAGCATCACCGCTTCATCTCCCAAAGGTTTGCGGTTGTCTTGGTCTAATGTCTATTCCTTCTGGATAACTAATGGACCCACCTAATTTTACTCTTAAAATTAACGCAAACTTTTAACTGGCAGGAAGCAGAGCATTTAATACACTCAGGAACTAGATCTGATATTATAATGATAGATGGCGCATATCGTTGGAGAAAGTCACCTATTGCGATATAATTTTTTGAGGGAAATAGACTAACATTTCGCATATTGCTGCCAAAATTATAACCATTTTTTTCTTCCTGTGATCTGATTCATGATTTAATTCATATTCTGAATAACTGAAGACTTAAGTTGCAACACGTGCCCAGGGTGTATATTAGAATATATTTCTGTAACAGTGAATTATTCAGAAAATACCATTAATTATTAATTTGATCAATACCATCAAATTCCGTGTCTCTTAAAAGTTTATGTAAGCATTGTTTACTCTATATTATTTGTTATTATTATTATTTTTCCTCTAACCTTTGTGGCAACCAATTTCTATCAAAACGCACCATTCTTCATCTTTTAATAAATCCCTACATTTCAGCGTTCATCATTCCAACAAAGCTTTTATGTGAACAGAATTGTCCAGAAACTATTAAACACTGTTCAATAAATCGAATAGTATTCCCTCTCTCCCTAAAAATGAATAAAAATGTTTTATATTGCCTAGTATCTTTTCACCTATAAAAGTCCCTTTCTATTCTCACCGTGATAAGCGTCGGAGGGATATCTGATATACAAGACATCGAATTTATGTTTATATACGACAGTGGTAATTCCTCTTCCAAGGTTCTGCGGTTAGTTTTTGACTAATTTTCATTCCTTTACAATGGCGAAGCGACCACTCTATGATGCACGGAGAACAGGATGTACTCAGTAAACAAAGATATGAATAACATCATAATAAATTATTTTTATCTTAATAAATATTTAATGCTAGTGTAAATTGAAAATCTTTGCGCTAATACGGTCATGTTTACACGTATCTCATAAACTTGATATAAAAAATCATGTTCCTTATTTTTACATAATTTCGTGTTTCATAAGTTTCTTTTCTATGACAATTTCAAGAGGACAAGCAAGCTATTTTTTCAACTTTTACTGTCATCGCTCGCTCATGTGATTTTTGATTCATCATTATCTATGGTGGTTAATTAGGAAGGATATCGTGAATTATATTATATGATTCTGAAAGCATGGATATCCCTCCTTCCTTCCCTCTCTGTCTATCTATTTATAACATTCTCTCCCTTCGTTCTCCCCACTTTCTCAATCTAATATAGTAAGGGAAAGGAATCATTATTATATATCTTTATTAAGTATCTTTATCAGAATTAACTGAAATAAGAATTTATAATAACAGTCATCACACACACATACACACACACACATATATATATAGGGAGAGAGAGAGAGAGAGAGAGAAAGAGAGAGAGAGAGAGAGAGAGAAAGAGCGAGAGAGAGAGAAGGAGAGAGAGAGAGGATAGGGAGAGAGAGAGAGAGATAGGAGAGAGAGAGAGAGAGAGAGAGAGAGAGAGAGAGAGAGAGAGAGAGAGAGAGAGAGAGAAATTAAGAGGGAGGGAGAAGGAGAAAGAAGAAAGAAGAAAGGAGAGAGATATTAAGGGGGAGGTGGAAGGAGAAAGAAGAAAGGAGAGAGGGAGAGAGAGAGAGTTAAATTGATAGAGAGAGAGAGAGAGTTCTACATATAGATTGACAAATAGATGAATAGAACGTTTGAAAATATTACGTATTATACATTATCTTTTATTAAGAAGAATAAGAAGAAAAAAAGGACTAAAATGTACAAAGTGCACACAAATACGAAGAGAAAAATAAATATCAAAGTGAAATAGCCTAAAGATCAACATACATGAACATCAGGTCTCACAACTGCACTGAAATATAAAGTCAACAGAAGTAGATCTAGGTGTTTGAATTTTAAATCGTTATGCGAGTATACAAATTTGTTGTTACATGAGAAGGAGTCACCAAATTGAGACATCAGTATAACTTTTTGCGAGTCAGATATTTATATATCTAAAATGTATTTATAGACACACATAAAATACATACGTACTATATATATGTATATATATATATATTCATATATGTGTATATTTATATACATACATACATATATATATATATATATATATATATATATATATATATATATATATATATATATATATATATTTCACCACACACACACACATATATATGTGTGTGTGTGTGTATGTGTGTGAATGTGCAAGCACACTCATCTCTTCCAAAAGTAGAATCAAACTACAAGAATGTTATACCTAAACTTTCATCCTGTGTGTATTTAATAAATCACAAAAAAAAAAAAAAAAAATCTTACCGGAAATTGCGGAACAACCTCAAAATATATGATCTTTACCGTGTGAATTATGATGTAAAGTGTTCAGTTCCAAACACAGGCAGTTACAGGCGGGGC